AAATCCAAGTCATGTGTAGGTCTTTTAAATCCAGGTGATGTGTAGGTCTTTTAAATCCAAGTCATGTGTAGGTCTTTTAAATCCAGGTGATGTGTAGGTCTTTTAATCCAGGTCATTCAGTTTAAACAGTAATCTTATATGGCTGACTTTAAAATATCACAAGTCCATCTTCATTAAATGTATTAAATATCACAAGTCCATCTTCATTAAATGTATTAAATATCACCTGCTTTTATATCATGGCGATTTGTCATAAAGTTCACAAGAATGATTTGGTAAAAAGGAGTGACAGAAGAATTGGATAAAAATTGAACTGTATTACGTCTTGACTTGACAGATGAGGAAAGTAACCTAACATGTAGTAGATTAATGAAGACAGACAAATACATGTTTACATTTAATAAAGATGGACTTGTGATATTTAATACATTTAATAAAGATGGACTTGTTATATTTAATACATTTAATAAAGATGGACTTGTGATATTTAATACATTTAATAAAGATGGACTTTTACTTAACTTCTTTTCAGACACATTGTGCTATTATATTAAGAGTAAAAAAAATATTTTTTTGGCACAATGAAAGGTCTTTGTTTTTACTCTTAATAAAGCAGTTAGTTATTGATATAAGTGCTATTTTATAATTCAAAGTTTTCTAACGTGTTTAGGAACTGTGCAGCATTGACATGAATGAGGACTTAGATATGACACACATGTAAAAGGGTATAAACCTAATTGATACGGCCATGCTAATGATGCATTATTCTTTATCAGTTACAACCTTACACAACCTGTGCACAGGAATGGAAACTGAATCATACGTTATAACAAACACATCAACATTCTGCTCACATATTATCTGTAGAGCATAACCATAAAAAAAACAACAACATTCAGCTGGTGCTTTACCTAGAAATAAAATGTGGTCATAGTGTTGGGAAGATGTCCTTTTTCAGTCTCAGTTACAGTCATTATAACAAGTTTTTTAAAAAGCATATTTGTCTGTAATATATTGATTTCATTTCTCTCTTCCTCTATGTATATTTTACAGCTAATAACAAGTATAGAATACTTTAATATAAATTACTGATAAATATACATGGAAGAAGTAGAGCTGGTGTTATTTCACACCAAGAAATCATTTTACATCCAGCCTATTCAGGATAGCTACCTTGATGGAGTGATAAAATGTTATCCATAGGACCAAATATCGATCCCAGTTCTTCACTAGATAGGATTCCCAGCTGGAAGAGAGAGTGACGATACGTCTGTAGCACCAACTTCAAGTCTTCAACCAAATCATCTTCTCCCTGATACAATTCAAATATTGCCTGGAAATAAAGAAAATAAATGAATAATTAATAACTGGTTTCACTTACAAAATAATTTTATTTAATACAATTCATTAAAAGAATGAGTTCCTATTTCTTCTTAAACAATTAAAAATGTCACTCAAATATTTTTATTATAGAGGACTTCAGCTTTAATCGTTAAATCACTAACTACAATACACTCCTTAAATAGACTGTTTCTTGGATAACCAGCTTATTCTATAGAACTACGACACGTACCTTGCGTTACATTTACCAAATCCTCAGATTAACTACCTTGATGTTGAGGTTAACATTTGTAAAGCAAATAAAACCATACATAACTTGTCATATGTCCACTAAACCCTCAGCTTAGCTCCTGTAATTCCTAGATGAATGAATTGTTCTCTGCAGCTCATAAAAAATATTAATTACCTCATCACATGGTTACCAAATCTTCAGGTTAAATTCCTGTAATTTATATTTAAATGATCCATTTTACATAAAACCACTAACTCCTCTAACTTCTAGACTACCAGGTAATTTGACGAAGCCAATAAAAACCACTAAATTCCTTGTCATATATTTACAAATTCTTCAGATAAATACTGTAATTTCTAGACTATAGACTTCTTTGTGAAACCTACTAAATGATTTGTCTTACACTTACCAAATATTTAGATAAATGCCAGTAATTTCTTGCATGCAAAGGTTTTGAAATAATATAAACATAAGTTCTTTCTTTGCAATATAGCAGAATTGTTCTACATTTTCTTATTTTACTTCACAAATCCCGTGAAAATTAAGTTGTCACATACTCGATTATTTTTACAGTTTCTTCTAACAAACAATTTGGTTTGATTTTAGCATACACTTTGGCCACATCTTCTGTACCTTCGGTGACATGAATATTAGAGCCTTGGAGTTATTTTAAACAGCTAGGAATCAGAGATAATACATGATGCAATCTGTAAGTGTTTATTTATATAAAAGAAAGAAAAAATGAATACATGTAATATATCTATAGAAATACAACAGTACTGTCTCTTGTTTGTCCATGTAACTACTTTGCAGGGTGCGGATGGATCTTCACCAAAATTGGTGTGGAGGTTCAATAGGTCCACGTGGAGATACACATGCAAATTTTCAGTTTTGCATTTTGTGTTTTTTATGGGCATTTTTTTACCACTACTAAGATAACCTTTCATTAACCATGAATTTACATAACTTTCATCCAGGGAACAGGTACTCCAGGTAGTGTGTGTGTATATATAAATATATACATATGAGAATAACCTCGTGAGATATTACCAGAACTACAGTCAAACGTATTGATCACAGTGAATGAACTGATGAATCATAATCATTACAAGTTGTTTTATTACAATCCATTGTATTAAGTGAGAATACAAAATTAGCTGCATTATTTACTGTTAAAATTGTTAGTTCTGATCTAAATAAGAAGCTAATATTTTCAGATATTATTTATTTAAGAAGAAAAGACAGTAAGAGCAAAATCTAGAAAGTAATATTTTCATAAAAAGAACAAGATCTGAAGATGATATCTTTACCTCTTGATGCTTCAGCTCTTTGGGGTTCATGTTTTCTTTCATCTCCTTAGCCTTTTCCTGGGAGAAAGTGTCCAGCCATAGCCGAGAAGATCTGAATTTCCTTGGAGTTGCTTTGGGTTGTTTGTAGGGTGAGAGAGAGGAAAAAGAATTTTCTGACATGTTCATTCTGCACAGTTTACTAGAGTTTTTATTCCGAAGCATGAGGGTGGGAGAGGCTGCAACCGACATGTTACTGGATGCTACATTGAAACTGCTTACGGAACGCTAGATTAAATAAAGAAGGTAAATGTTAAACACCATGGAGATTTTCATCCCAAAAGACATTAATCTTAAAATTCTCTTCAGTTTTGACTTATCTTCGGTGAATTGGTAATTTGTAAATATCTTCATTTCAGGAAAGAAACTCTCACATAAATTATGTTCTTGATGAGTTAACACAATCTGTGGTGTTCATTGTTTTACAGTAACTCTTTAGAGCGATGAGTTAACACAATTTGTGGTGCTCCTTATTTTACAGTAACTCTTTACAGTGAAGAGTTAACACAATTTGTGGTGCTCCTTATTTTACAGTAACTCTTTACAGTGATGAGTTAACACAATTTGTGATGTTCATTGTTTTACAGTAACTCTTTACAGTGATGAGTTAACACAATCTGTGATGTTCATTGTTTTACAGTAACTCTTTACAGTGATGAGTTAACACAATTTGTGGTGTTCATTGTTTTACAGTAACTCTTTACAGTGATGAGTTAACACAATTTGTGATGTTCATTGTTTTACAGTAACTCTTTACAGGGATGAATTAACATAATTTGTGATGTTCATTGTTTTACAGTAACTCTTTACAGTGATGAGTTAACACAATTTGTGATGTTCATTGTTTTACAGTAACTCTTTACAGTGATGAGTTAACACAATTTGTGATGTTCATTGTTTTACAGTAACTCTTTACAGGGATGAATTAACATAATTTGTGGTGTTCATTGTTTTACGGTAACTCATTACAGTGATAAGTTAACACAATTTGTGATGTTCATTGTTTTACAGTAACTCTTTACAGTGATGAGTTAACACAATTTGTGGTGCTCCTTATTTTACAGTAACTCTTTACAGTGATGAGTTAACATAATTTGTGATGTTTATTGTTTTACAGTAACTCTTTACAGGGATGAATTAACACAATTTGTGGTGTTCATTGTTTTACAGTAACTCTTTACAGTGATGAGTTAACACAATTTGTGATGTTCATTGTTTTACAGTAACTCTTTACAGTGATGAGTTAACACAATTTGTGGTGCTCCTTATTTTACAGTAACTCTTTACAGTTTACTAATATTTGACTTTAACAAACATATAATAGTTTAGTATATTGAAACTTGATGTTTAATTAGTTATTTAAAATCTAATAAATTACTAAAACTGGAGATCGACTCAACAAACTACACTTTTTCTAGATGTAAAATACAGTCAACTGAACAATTAGTTCTCAGTCAAATACATAAAAGCAAGTTATACCTGAATTATCTTTCCCACCCTCTTTACTGGTTTAGCCGGAGACAGCAACGATGCTAATGATCCAAAGCTCGAAAGTCTCTTTTTTCGCTTTGACTTTGATTCTTCCTACATTAAAACACTCAAATATTAATAACTGTTTCTAATCTTTCATATTATAAATTATAAAACATTATAAATAATAAAAACATTGCCCCTAATGAAGTTGATCTTGGCGTTCAATAAAACAAGAGTTTTGATTGGGTAATTTATTTTGCTTTTTCCTTCATTATTTTTATTACTTTCTTGGAATGAATGACATATAAAATTTGTATTTGTAAATAATAAAAACTAGATACATCTTTTATTTCAAGGAAGAATTTACAGGAGTAGGTAATTAGAATTCATTTCACTTGACTGTACATACTCAGCACATTTTTTAAGCCTTATCATTAAAACACGTGTTTACTGTATGTATGCAAGTATTTTTAGGTACAATAACAACAAAATGCACATAAATATTTAAAAAATATAACTGTAATAATATATTTCAACATTTTATTTACATTCAAGTTAAAGTCAAGTTATCCACATTTTAAAAAAAGAAATAAGGGAACTTACATATACTACATTGTAAAATATCAATCAGTTCAAATATATATGCTTTTTTTTTTCAGTTAGTAAGTGATTGTAAAATCATTACACAACTTCAAATTTCTCACATTTTAGTTTTGAACGTATTGGTTAATGTAGGTATACTTCAAGTGCAAAAATAAAACAGAATGGTTCAACAGATATAACATAAGATGAATAATTGTTTACACAGTTACAACAATATAATGTTAGATATAGGTTAATATAAGTAATTGTCTACACAGTTACAACAATATAATGTATTAGATATAGGTTAATATAATTAATTGTCTACACAGTTACAACAATATAATTTATTAGATATAGGTTAATATAAGTAATTGTCTACACAGTTGCAACAATATAATGTATTAGATATAGGTTAATATAAGTAATTGTCTACACAGTTACAACAATATAATGTTAGATATAGGTTAATATAAGTAATTGTCTATACAGTTACAACAATATAATGTATTAGATATAGGTCAATATAAGTAATTGTATTGTAATAACAGAGTAGAGAAGAATAATTCATCTTGTCAAATGAGTTCTAAAGTAACTGAACCAGCCTGTGCAGAATTTGAGGCAAAAAAGAGAATTATTTAAAGCTCTGGATACAACTGTGGTAACCAACAGTGTAAGGAACATTTGCATATAAGTTTGATTTGTTTTAAATATACATTATTTTAAAACAAGCAGACTGTGTTGGTGTTTCTTTATAGTTGAAATTTATTGCTAATAAGTCAGGCACCTACTGTAAAGAATCCAGCCTTACAAAACCTGACAGTTGCAACTGTAAATATAACTCAAGATGAATAACATCTGCAAAGTTTTTAAAGACTAAGTCTTCTTTAGATTTGATTCACCTCTTTTCGGAAAATTTCTTTTACGTCTAAAAACACTTCATTTGGGAACAAATAGATATCACTGAAACTCAGACCTATTGCTTACTCTTAACGTTTCTTTATAAACTACTCTTATTTAATATATTTAACTACTAACTAAACGTGTGGCAATACAGTGATACGATACGAGTATTATATCGTGAAGCCATGATATGATTGTATCACTACATCATCAGATATGATACATGTATCTTCACGAAATTTGGCAAGCTTTCAGTAAACATTACGAGTCTTTTGTACAGAAAAAATCAGAATTTCTAATAAAGTATTTTTGCTAAAGATTAATGATTCAATAAAGAAAAATGAGTATTGAGTATTACATGTTGTCTTCATTTCTTTTATCAAAAACATTACATGCAAAGTAAGAGCAAATTAACAATAACAGCTGCTATTTAGTTTGTCAAACATGATAATTTGAAAAAGCACTGTAAAATGTGAAGTAATTAAATAAGACAATATTAGTAATATAGATAATAAATTACAGACAAGACTATCAAACTTTGTAACAAACCGTTGGTAAAACTTTTGTATTAGATACGTATCGTATCATCAATATCTATATACATATTTTATTGACTACTATGATGAGATACGCACCTCTACTAATAACTTTTATTTTTAGGCATTGATATTTTTTTTACTTTAATGCCTGATCGGTGGAGCAGGATAATTTCTTCCTTAAATTATTGTGCAGGAAAGATGCAAGATTATTGCAAAGCTGTAAGATGTCCTTACAAATATCAATATGATTTATAAAATTTCCAAGCTGATACTCACTTTTAGAAGGGAAATATCGAAACTTAATATACTGAGGTTGTCATCGTCACTTTTTTGTTTTCTCTTTTTCTGCAAATATTGAACATTTTTCTTAAGTACATACATTTAAAAAACTAAAACACTGCATTTTTACAGAAGATATTAATTCTATTATACTTATTAAAAAAAAAAGGGTGTCCTGACATATCATAAAATTCTGTTCTACAGATTAATTGTAGTTAATTTTACTGTTCATTACTAGAAAAAAAAACTGCTTGTAAAAATATCTTCCTGTTATAAGATTATTTTAAAGTTGTTCACATGGATTAATTTTGTAACAAACTTGTCACCAGGAATGCCATTCCTTCAGAATGCTGGTGACTGGTGCTGCCATTCCTATTAAAATGTGTATGTTCATGTATATATCTGATATATACATGAACATATACGTTTTAAGATTTCAAGTCAACTTAAGATTACTTCCACAAACAAACAAAAACATTCAGTGAAACATGAAATTTATCGATTCTTATTTTTGTTTTGCAATTACATACATACACACACACACACACACCAGTCACCACAATGAACGTCTGATAGGAATGGCAGCACCAGTTCACCACAATGAACATCTGACAGGAACGGCAGCACCAGTTCACCACAATGAACATCTGATAGGAACGGCAGCACCAGTTCACCACAATGAACATCTGATAGGAACGGCAGCACCAGTTCACCACAATGAACATCTGACAGGAAC